CACATTGATTGGATAGGCAACTAATATGGCTTTTATAAGACCTTGAGTACTCTCACTCTTTGAGCTAGCTTTTGGAGTGGTGTATCTCAAGATTCTTTACAGAATGGATGGAAATTTTTTTTTGCTAAGCGAGGGTAAAGCTATAACATCTTTTGGTTGACAAAAATACCCTGCACATGTGTCTCAATAAAATGATACTCTGTGAATTTGTGCAATCGGAAACATACCCTGCGCATTTTTTTATTTGTGCAATCGGAAACATACTAATTTGTATTTACTTGTTTTTTTTCTACCGATTTATTACAAATCTGATAAAATGATTTTGTTTATTATTAATTTTTTATTTTATTTTTCAGTTAAGTAGAAATGTGAAAAATTTCTTTGCAGATTTGTTGCATTTGTACCGGGGAATTCAATATTCAAAATGGTGGGCATTTTGATAATTTACGTTTACTTTTCTATCAATATTTTACAACTATCCAAACACAATATTAGTAAAATTTACTCAATTTTTTCGGAAAATTTTTAGCTTACCAAACACTTTTTTTAACTTATTCGGCAAAAAAAATTTCTCACCATATTTTGAGCAAATTTTTTTTTTCTCCTGTACTAAACGCTCCTTTAATGAATTAAGTTCCGCAAATTAAATGGAAGATTCCCTTTTATTCATGTTGTTTTAATTCTTCTTCTTCTTTTTTAGTACATGTTGTTTTAATTCTTAGTGAATAAAAGTGAAATTTAAGTACGGGAAGTTTTTTTTGGATCTGGATTCTCTAATGTGAAAATTCACATGATCATGTAATGTGGAGAATCATAACCATACAAAGGTGGATCAATGGTAAAAAAAAAATGAGAGAAAAAAAATGATAAAATAGATAGTTAAGAAATCATAACCGTCGATTTACCTTTGTATGGTTGTGATCTTTCCACATGATCATATCATGTTTTTTTCACGTTCCAGTTTTTTTTTTGTCAGACTTGACCAAATTATTACAAACAGTATCAGTGAACTCTATATTAGACAGTTAACCGATTATATTAAATTGCATAACTAATCAAAGTTATTGTCATATCACTTTAAATCAAATCTAACTAGTTGAATTTAGGGTTGAATTAGGTGGTCATTAATTTTGTTTTAATTACAATAATTTTCCCGTTTCATTTTGTTTTATTTATATTGTTTTTATAACAGCATCATATTCAACTAATTAATTTAAGGAAAAATATCCACACCAAAAAAAAAAATTTAGGGAATTTTTTTTTTCCAGTTACATAAAATAAATCTCTCTCCTATACTAACAAAATGGTGAGCTCTTTAAATTTTTTTTTATTCTTTTTTTTTTTTATAAAAATAGAGTCCCACATTGTTTGTTTCAGCAACATAAGATAAGTTGTCTTGTATTGCATAAAAATAATAAACCCCTTAATTTAAACAATTAAATATGACTATTTCCAAAAAAAAAAAACAATTAAATATGACTGCAAAGTATCACCAATCCATTATCTGATTCGATTTATCAACATGGGAACAGCCAAATATTAAATACTAATAGAAATCTTCACTTGTTCAACTTTTGGAATTTGATTTTTTTAAATCCATTTTTCATGCAAGTTAGTGCTTCTCTTAAAAATGGTACAACAAATTGGATGTACAGAATAGTCTTTCCATTTACAGGCCCTAGGCATGTCCTTAGTGTTTGGTTGAAGGTTTATTTTAGAATTGATGGAAAGTGTAGGTGAATATTGAAAAATACCACGTTTGGTTCAGGTTTTTTCAAGAAATACCAGACAAATAGGATAGATAGGAAAATGACTTTTGTGTTGATTTTTGGATGAAATTCACTGTTACAGAATACCACTTGAGATGTGGTATTGTGAGATGACTGGGGAAGTGAAAAAATAGGTGCAAAATTTCTCCCGAACATAGATTTTGCATATTTAAATAAATTTTCCTGATAATATTTGGGTCAACCAAACAACTTTTTTACATTTTCCTATCAAACTCACTTTCCAACCATTTTCCTATCAATTACATTTCCCTAGTAAAAAAAAATTTGTCCTGAACCAAACACTACCGAAAGAAGCACATAGCTTTCGTGCTTAAATGCCTATATGACATTTGCAACCGTTGGCCGGAGAATCACCGACCACCGTGGAGCTATTAACGATGATCTTGGAAGTTTGAGAAGAAGGGTGGAGATTATTAATTCTTTTCTTCTCTAAATTTATTTTTCTTTATTTACAAAAAAAAAATTATTTTTCTTCCCTCTAACTTATCAGCGATGAACATTATTAGCTAAATAAATTGTTTGGAACATTAGCAAGTGGCGTAGTCATGTTATATTTAGGTAGGGTTTGATCCCAGTTACATCTCAATAAATTTTATTTATTATATATAATTATATAAGTAATTATAATTAAACCCTAACTAAAATTGTAACAGTGGTATTATATGAAAATTTAGAGTTGCTTTGTGTGTGTGACCAGATAACATATTATTTTTTTCTTAATTTCTTCTTCTTCTTCTTTCATTTTTTTTAAATTAGGGTTTTCTTCTAACTTTTTTTTTCTTATTCTCACTTACCACCTCGAACCCAGCCATTTTGCGACAAGATACGATGTTTCGTTCCTTTCTCAAGATTTAACGGATATATGTTCTTGGAATATGCATTGGTAATTATAATGTCCGTTGGGGAAAAAAATCGATTTACATTTTTGAACCTTGTGAAAGAGAAATTCTTTGTCTTTACTGACCTTAATTGTTTATTGGGTGTTTCAAACATGAGTGAAAGTAATGCCTTTTTTTTTTTTTTTTTTGATAACAAGTAATGCCTTTTTTTATTTACTTTTTGTGTGTGTGGTTGTATTTATTGATTTTATTTCTTTTGAAAATGGAGTGTTATTTTACGTTTACCTTTTTTTTGTTAAAAAATTATTTTAATGTAGAGGAGCTACAATTGCTATTGGTAATTGAATTGAATTGTTTCTTGGTGTTATTTGTATTTGATTTCACAACAGGAAAGGAAATTTTGGCAATTAATCTGTGAAAATTGTTAAAGAAAAAAATCAATGAAGATATATATGTGTATATAGAGTATGAAAATTTCTTGTAGATACCCATTAACAACTTTTTTTTTTGTTATTCTTAAAATATTTAAACACTGACTAACTGGTTTATATGGATCTAATGTCATTTAAATGATTTTTGAAATTTGTCGCTCATTGTTTCATGTTTCTTTTTAATTGTGAAGTTTGTTCTATCCCTCTACGTTGATGTTCTTCACAAGTCACGACTAGGGATAAATCTTTGGTACCACTGTTGTACCCAAATGGGTACAACATTTTGCCATTTTTGGAAAAAAGTGCAATGTGGCGGGAAAAAGAAATTTGAAAAGTGTTTAAATTTTTTCTACAAATGGAAAAATGTTGTACCCACTTGGGTACAACAGTGGTACCAAAGATTTATCCCACGACTAGGGGTGTAAATAGGGCCAGGTTAAGCCAGATTTTGACTTTGATAGCCTAAGCCTATGTAAAATATTTAAAGTCTATACTACCCTATTAGCCTATTAAAGTCTTGATTTATAAGTCTGGCCTGACTTATTATAAAAAATTAAAAAATCTAATATAGCCTGTAACTGTAAGGCTCTAACGGTGAAACAAACTGATAGTGACATTGGTAGTAACACTAACTGGTAGTAACAATATCCTATCTCATATCCATATATGAAATTTTCATGTAATTTTTATGAACTTTTTCATCTGATTTTTATGACATTATTTCATGTGATCTTTGTGAATAAGAAATTTTATTTTTTATATTTCAATTTGGTTTGGACATATAAACTTTAGTATGCAATTTGGTAGGCCTTACAGGTTATATTAGATTTTTAAATTTTTATAATAGGTTAAGCTAGCTCTGACCTGTGAAGAGTCAACGTAGAGGGACAGAGCAAACTTCACAATTAAAAAACATGAAACAATCAGCAACAAAAATCTAAAATCATTTAAATGACATTAGATCCGAACATAAAAAAATAATTTTCCTCAATTCACATTCCTAAGATTTCCAAATAAATTCATATACCAAACAACTCCTTAAGTGTAGCTTTCTTGAATGTAAATTTTATGTTACATTACCTAAAAAGTCACTGACAGTATCATTCACCGATCAAAACCTAGATAGTCGTACTTGTGCAGGCATAAATAATGTAAATATATCACTCACAAATTCGGATTTGTTACTGTTGAAAAATCAACGATTAAAACTATAATAAAAATAAATAAATTGTTTAAATTTTTTTCTTAATCTTTTTATAACAAATATAACTCCTTACTTTTTCTTATTAAGTAAAGCACTTTTCAAAAATCTAGTTTTATAAATTTATAAGTTTGCTTTGCACTCATGTTAAACTCTCTTATACACAAAAGCCAAAAGTATTTAAAGTACTTAATAAAAAACGAATATTGTTTTTAAAAAATGTAAAGGCATATATTAGTATTTTTAAAATGTAAACGAATATTTGCTTTCTTGCTAAACTTAAGATTTCCTTTATAACACCTTTCTGAAAAATTGATCTTGTGGTTGATTAACCACAAAAAAGTAGGCATTACCTCCATTAACACAATCCAAAAATTCTGTACACTACAACACAAAAAGAAAAGGAAATAATAATAATAATAATAATACGCATGACTAAAAAAAAAAATGAAGAAAGCAGAAACAAATTAAGACATATACGTATAGATAACAGTATTTGCTTCGCTCATGTGCTGAAGAAAGAATGAGGCAAATAACCGTTGTGAGAAAGTGGACACGTGTCATCGTGTCTTCTTCTCTCACTCTTTGGATTCTCTGCCATCGCTTGTTGTCTTGTTCCTTCTGCAAAACAACACTACACTCTTCTCTCTCTCTCTCTCTCTGCCCGTGATTCTCTTTCACTTTCAGTGCTGTTTCGGGAACAAACAAAAGCAAGGCTCAATACACTTTTACCACAACAATGTCGCTACTTTGCTTCGTCGTTGTCCCCTTAACACTCTTCTTCTTCTTCTTCAATGCCATATCCGCAGCCGCCGCCACCGAGTTTGACTTTGGAACCTTAACATTGAGCAGTCTCAAACTTCTCGGCGATGCCCACTTGAACAACGGCACCGTTTGTCTCACTCGCGACCTCGCCGTCCCCAACTCTGGCGCCGGCAGGGCCCTCTACTCTCGACCAGTAAAATTCCGGCAACCCGGAACCCACCTTCCGACCAGCTTCACCACCTTCTTCTCCTTCTCCATCACCAACCTCAACCCCTCCTCCATCGGCGGCGGACTCGCCTTTGTCATCTCCCCGGACGACGAGACAATCGGCGACGCCGGCGGGTTCCTCGGCCTGCTCGATGCAACGGAGGGTGACGGCGGCGGAGGCTTCATCGCGGTGGAGTTCGACACCCTTATGGACGTGGAGTTCAAGGACATTAACGGGAACCATGTTGGGGTGGACCTGAATAGCATGGTTTCGAGCCAAGTTGGTGACTTGGATTCCATTGGGATCGATCTCAAGAGTGGCGATTTGGTGAATGCGTGGATCGAGTTCAACGGATCCAACAAAGGGTTGAACGTGTGGGTTTCGTACTCCAATCTCAAACCCAAAGACCCAATTTTGTCGATGAATCTGGATGTGGATCAGTACTTGAGTGACTTCATGTATGTGGGGTTCTCTGGTTCAACGCAGGGTAGCACAGAGACTCACAGTGTCGAGTGGTGGAGTTTTAGCTCATCTTTTGATTCTCGTCCGGCGGGTTCGGAGGCGGCGGCGCCGCCCCCTCCGGCGGTTAGTTTGATGAACCCAACTGCGAATTCAGTTAAGTCGCCGCCACCTTCTTTGGCTCCTAGTGCTTCATCGAATGAGGAACAAAAGGAGAGACAATCATCTTGTCACAATGGGTTGTGCAAGCAAGGTTTGGGAGCAGTTGCTGGGGTTGTGTCTGCTGGGGCATTTGTTCTGGCTCTGTTTGCAGGTGCATTGATTTGGTTTTACTCTAAAAAGGTGAAGCACGTGAACGAGTCTGCTTCACTTGGATCAGAAGTCATCAAGGTTCCAAAGCAGTTTAGCTACAAGGAGCTCAAATCGGCTACAAAGTGCTTCAATGCAAATAGGATAATTGGTCACGGTGCGTTTGGGACTGTGTATAAGGGTATTTTTCCTGAGAATGGGGACATTGTTGCGGTGAAGAGATGTAGCCATAGTAGTCAGGGTAAGAATGAGTTTTTATCCGAGTTATCCATAATTGGGAGCCTTAGACATCGAAATCTTGTTCGTCTTCAAGGTTGGTGTCAGGAGAAAGGCGAGATTTTATTGGTGTATGACTTAATGCCCAATGGGAGTTTAGATAAGGCTTTGTTTGAGGCCAGAACACCTCTTCCTTGGACTCACAGGCGCAAGATTTTGTTAGGTGTGGCCTCTGCGTTGGCCTACTTGCATCAGGAGTGTGAAAATCAGGTAATTCACAGAGACATTAAGACTAGTAACATAATGTTAGATGAAGGGTTCAATGCCCGGTTGGGAGATTTTGGTTTAGCAAGGCAAACCGAGCATGACAAGTCGCCGGATGCCACGGTGGCTGCGGGAACAATGGGGTACCTGGCACCTGAGTATCTTCTTACAGGTAAGGCTACAGAGAAAACTGATGTGTTCAGTTATGGTGCGGTGGTTCTTGAGGTTGCCAGTGGGAGAAGGCCTATAGAGAAAGATGGTAATGGCGTTGGTATTAGCAGCAATTTGGTAGAATGGGTTTGGAGTTTGCACCGGGAAGGCAGGTTGCTAATGGCAGCTGATCCAAGGCTTGAGGGTGAGTTTGAGGAGGGAGAGATGAGGAGGGTACTCTTGGTTGGGCTAGCTTGCTCCCACCCTGATCCTTTGGCTAGACCCACTATGAGGGGTGTGGTTCAGATGCTGGTGGGTGAGACTGAAGTGCCTATTGTCCCAAGAACCAAGCCATCTACGGGTTTAAGTACTTCCCACTCCCACCTCTTACTGAGCTTGCAAGATAGTGTATCTGACTGGGATGGTATAATCACCATCTCTCCTTCCACATCAGAGAACAGCTTCAATGGTGGAGAAATAGTCTGATGGAAATCTTTGGATGAGACCAGGCCATTTATATTATTGACTCAGTGTAAATAAGGAGAGATATGTATTCATTTGTTGGTGTATGTAAATGACTATAACATGCAATTTAGGGCCTTGAGAAAGAAATTTTGACGGGTTTATGCAATTCTGCCTCTAGTACTCATAATTCATGGCAGAGTGCTGGTATACACATTTTGGCACTAACTGGTTCATCCCATGCTGCAGAGCGTTGCAAGACGTTGGTGTGGAGTATTACAGGCAATCTAGTGGAACTTTACATAGATCATTGTTCTAGTTCTAATTGATGCCCAGTTGTATAGGGCAAGTTTGAATTAAGTAATTGATGCTAAACAAGATTTCTTTGGACAATTTGAATTAAGTTATCATGGTATAATAAAGATAGAAAATTCTCTGAAGCCCCTTCTCCTTTGCCCTCTCCATGTCAATCCAGGTTTTGTATCTTCCACTCATAGAAGATATATATATATATATATACTCTCGTGGCACTATAGTCTTTTTAGTATCATTTTTTTGCCAATTTGGTAAACAGCATTTTTAGAATTTTATGGAACGAATGGTATGTATTTAAATGCATTTTGTATTTGTCTCTAAAGATTGGCAATGTCTGGAGACTTGTGACACATGGATCACTTTGAATCCATATGTCATGATATCCTTCATTAATATCATATGTCTAATGCTATTACGACAATTTAGAGTTAAGATTTTTTATCTCCTAGTGAGGTTCCGCTCTATACCTTCTCTCTTCAATTAGTTGAATTTATTGAGCTCCTAGAGATAATGCCTCAGCTTCTTATGTGGTTTTCAATTATTGAAACAGGGTTAATGGGTTCTCGATTTTCTTGACCGGTATGTCTTGTCTAGTATCTTAATGTAATTCTTGACTCCCAGCTGACAAGTTATATATTAAGTAGGAAAAGGTATCGTTTCTCCCGCATTCTCATTACTTATTTTAGAATTTTGTGATTAAGATATTAATGGATAATAATAATCCTGGATATAAATGGTAATGTTTCTTAATTTTCTTGAGTATGGAGGGCGCTCAGCTCAGCATTTCATTGTGGTAACCACTGCTAGTCTAACAGTTTCTTACTCAGACCTTGTCCTTATTATTGAGACAGACAACTTGAACTTCTGGATAGTTTTACCAATGCATGTTCCCCACTGCTTATCTCCTAGCTAGTTTATTCAAAAAAAAAAAAATCCTTCATATTTGTATATATTCACTTTTTTCTTAAAAGCATGGAAAAGAGTGAGATTATTCTGTGTTTTTTCTCGGGTTTACAGGAAAGTATGATGATGAGTCCAGGTGATGTCTGTTACATGAGTCATTCTACTACTGATAATTCATCTTTCTTCAACAAATAAGTCACATCTGAATACGTGATAAGCCAGAGTAAGGACTAAGGAACCATAATCTAATTTAATCTCAACAAAGTAATATTTTCTCGTATGTGATTACTTTTTTTTTCCCCCTCATCTCTGTTTCATTGCCTCAGACTGCAAGGTGTTTTCCCCGTTTCAATGGAGAGAGGCAAATAGTGAGTAGATGACTTGTAGAGCGGCAAGTGTTTACTTATAGTTTAATGTATTACTGGCCAGTTTATGTAGGTTGATTGTGAATTCCCTAGCTTTGATTATCTGCAGTTTAGATTTCCTGCTCTCTACCTAAAACATCTGCTAGTGATGATGAATCATTCCATATGCTTCTCTTTCCATGCGTGCCTGTTGATAGCATTTTAACTCAATGTCTGTAACGTTTGTATATGGCTAAGTAGAAAAGGAAGGTCTAGCTAGATGATTTTGTAGCGATGCCTTTTCTCTAATACTAGTAATGTTGGATTTCTTAATGGTAAAAAATTTATCCATATTTATTCTACTAAACACTTGATTTTGGTGTAAATAGTTTATGCTGCTTTCTTTGGCAAGATTTATGTGACTGCACACATCTTGTATGATCTCTACTCTCTAGATATCAACCCTCTGGTATGCAGTCAATAGTTACTCTTCCTAGTCATGCTGATAAAAAGTGAGAAGCCATTCTGCACTTGATTTGGAATCCATTCTAGCACATTGGATCTCTCAGGTCAGAGATATAACACTTTGATGAGGAATTGGAGCCTAATGAGCATACGTTGGAGAAGGTGCTTTCATCAGGTTAGTTAAGTGTATACAGACTGGCAGACACACAACATCCCATTTTCCATTCTTTTTATATCTTAAAAGAGATTTTTGTCTTAAAAGGAAAATACAAGTGGTTCGAGTCATGAGACAAGTCATTTATTAGTTAAAATGCAACTGTAGATGTCTGGGACTGGGAGTATACCATGATGATTTTGGTACAAGAGGAAATCTTACTATTCTTCAAAGCGTTCTCATAATTACTTGATTACTGCGATAGTCCACAGTCAATAATATTCTTGATGATTTACTCTAACCCAATAAAAATAGGTGACTATGTACTTGCCATAAATGTGCCACTTCTCCCAAAAAACAGCACCATAATTCATACTTCTGATCTATACTAATAATCAAGAGCATTCTCTTCTTATGGTCTCAATTTTTTAGTTTCCCATTTTTCCATTCTCACTAAATTTTACACAATTAATATACAATTCAAAGACATAGATAAAATAATAAAAAATGGTAAAAAAAATTCAGTAAACCGTGCACGTTTACAACAGTTTCACAATTCTTTCCCAACTGCAAGCTTAACTAAAATCTGTCTTATCTCTTTCTAATAATTTATTTCTCCTGCAAACTGTTAGCTATGAATTATAACTGCCAGTGTACTTTATTGCTTGATGGATTTTGAGTACACGGTGCTGATGGCAGCCACTAAGGGATGCTTTTTGGCCACCACCAATAGAGGGTCTCTCTCTCTCTCTCTCTCTTTATTTGTATTTTTATCATAATTTGGCTAATCACATTGTATACCTTCTTCTTTACTGCTAAGCACATATTTCTTTCTTAAAAGGAGTTTTTTTGTTAAATCATTTAATACTTTTTATTTTTAATTGCGGTTAATAATGTGGATGTTTAGTTTGAATTTTGATGAAGAGGAAGTGCATGCTGCAAATGTGCTAATGGATATGAGTGGAAGATATTATTCAGCTGCTTCATTCTCTTTTCCTTCTTTTTGGTGTTTAAATAATCACTTTTTGACTAACAATTTTATATGAAGAAATATTCATTAATATTTAAAATCTTTATATCTATATGATTTGTTTTATAGTACTAACATGCTTTAACAACTAATGAACTTCAATTATAAAGAAATAGTTAAAGATGAACAAACGAACATTTACTTTTAAGATGAGAATACAAAATTCTTTAAAGATGGATTGGAGAATAACTTGGTGGAAGTGGAAAAGAAAAAAGCTGAAATCAATGGCATGGAGGAGAAAGTTGCAAAACCTTAATAACAGACATTGGAAAGGAAAGCAGAGTAGCTGATGTTTTGAGGCTGCAAAAAGCTACTTTTGAAAGAGAATGATATGAGCTGGATCTTAGAAAAAGAAAAAAATATCAGTATATCGGCAATAACTAAGGAATTTATACACTGTACAGATGCACAGAGCCGTAACCGTAGGTTTCAACTGTCATAACTAACCGAGTAACAGAAAACTAACTAGTTGTAATAGACATTAGTTGTTGCTGCCTCCTTTGCTAATTGCTAAGTTTAGCCACTACAACTCGTCACTAAACAAGAATGTGTACTAAACAACAACAACAACAATAATAATAAATTAAACATTACAATTTTGCTTTATAAACTATAGCCGCATTTAATTTTTCCCCCTAATGATCCAAGAAAGATGAACATCACCAAATGCTCAATCTTTTCCAATCATATATTAAAAAATAAAAAATAAGAGACATCAAATTATTGAAACGTAAATGAAAGATGAGCATAACTTAAACAAAAGTTTCAGAAAAATTTGAGAATGAGAAAATTTAAACAAATTTTTCCACTTGACAAAACCCTCGTCAGTGAAAAATTGGATAGAAGTGGCTTGACTCACTCAACTATAATGTCAAAATGATATATCAAAAATACATATATAAACTCACCCTTGTATGTTTATATATAAAACAAGGCTCTAACAAACACCGTTCATCTTCTTCCTGTCCATGACAAATTTCTTCCAAATTGAAGTGATTTCCCTTTGGGTCTCAAGATCACTCTTCTTAACAATCATGACTTTTTCCCCATTGTTTTGAGCTTCCCCTCCAGTAACTGTTACGGAGTTGCTACTGAGTACCTTAGCAGGAAGCAAATCGAGGTCGTGCAACACTTTGGAGACATCAATAACAAGACGCTCCGCAAGGGTACGTGAAAAGTCTTCTCTAATGACAACACGTAGAACGGTGACATGTTGTGCATCTGGTGGCATGGTGTATGCTGGCACTATCCAACCATAACGCCTCAGCATATCAGAGATTTGGAATTCATCGAAGTGGCTGTGATCCTTCAATGTGAAGGCCACCAATGGTACACCATCGTCCTTCGATACAATCTCAAACCTACCTGTTTTCTCCAGTCCCTCCTTAAGTACCATCATGTTGTCTGTGCAGTTTTCCATCACATTTTTATATCCCTGCAAACCCAATTAATAGCATCAAGTTTTAGAATAAGTTTGAGTAAGATCATGTTATTTAGTAACTTGAAATGTTTTACTTTTTAAGTGTGTGATTTAAAAGTACACTAGAGTAACTAGCACAACATTTTATATATATAGTGAATGGATGTCTTAATACCTCATAACCCAAACGAATTAATTGGTAGTACTGAGCAATAACTTGGCTGGAGCCTGCATATTGCATATTTTATAAAAGAAATCAGTATAATAATGCATAATAAACTAATATAAACGGTACAAAGTGAAAGAAAGTAATTCAGGTCTGTTCTAGTTAGTAGTTAGACCAATTGAGTGTGGGAATAGTATGTTACCTTTGGAGAAGTTGAGGGTGAAGGTGGGTTGATCTGCTCCGAGATAGTTAATGTGGAAGATGAGTTCGTCAGGAAGGTCTTCCTTGCTTCTCCAGATGACCCAACCAATTCCTGCATAGACTAGACCATATTTGTGTCCACTAACGTTGATGCTCTTCACTAGTGGTAACCGGAAGTCCCACTCAAGCTCTGGATAAAGAAATGGTGCAATGAATCCACCACTGGCTGCATCCACATGAATTGGAGTGTCCCATCTACCAAAGAATTTCACATGTCAGTTCCACTCTAAACTTTAAACTTAGTGTACAAAATAAGATGCAGATAAGCCTCAACCAATCTGTGCAACACACAAACACATAGAGTGAGAGAGAGATACCCAGTTTCGTTATTCTTTTCGACTAGGAGATCGTTCAAGCGCTTGACATCTTCGAACTCTCCATTTAGTGTGGAACCAAGGATAGCAGCAACACAAATGGTGTTTTCATCCACCATTTCCACAGCTTTTTCAGGGTCCATTACATAGTATCCATCACGCAGCTTGACCTCCTTCAACTCCACCTCAAAGTACCGTGCAAATTTCTCCCAGCAAACCTTCACATGAAAAGATTTAAACTCGGTAAATCGCTTGTTATTAATATCAGAATTTTCAACAAACTGAATGTTTCAGTGATGGTCTTGTCCTATAGCAGAACAAAATGTTTCTATGTCTATACCTGAACATTAGCACCAGTAACAATGTTTGGATTGTCATAAGGCTTCCCTTCACTTTTCCTTCTGTTCTGCCACTTCCTTTTGAATGCCAATCCGGCCAACATTATGGCCTCTGATGAGCCAACCGTGCCAACACCAACTGCAGGTTCTGCCTCTTCAAGTGGTGCATTGAAAAGATGAGCTATCATGTTAACACACCGATTCTGCATGCATACAAGTTAGAATGGTAACCAGATCAATACACACTGCACAAATCAACTTTGCTCGAAATTTATATACACTACAATTAGAACATATAATTGGCTTATATTATGCTATTGTTAGAAAACAAAAGCTCAGTTCAGAGGGGAGTGAAAATAGAGTTGGATGGGTAGTTATTAATTTCCACTCATTGTTACTTAGCAAGTAGTACATTGTAATGTGTTTTAGGCAATAGTATAACTTTCAACCATTTTATTTTATTTTATTTTACCAAGCAAGTAAGATATAATTTATTTATTTTTTATAACAAGGGCACTTCAGTTTTTATTCCATCTAATAAATACTCTTAAATCTAGTTGAATACTACCAATATTCTAATAATGTTTTGTCTGTTGTGTAGTATTATTACTGGTAAACTTTTTGTTAGTCTAACTAACAAGTCGGTGCCAACTGTCAAAGCAGAAGACCAGCCCAATGTACTTTAATTGGATCACAACACTTTTGGTTGTTTGCTATTGATCAAGGGCTGGACTCCTTTTCTACATTGGCCCCCAATTCAAAGGTTGGATAAATAAACACCCACAGATGAACAGTAAAAGGGTGTCAAAAGAAAAATCAGAAAGGTACATAGAATAAGGTTGGATACAAAAGATTCTAAAAAAAGAAATTTTTTTAAAAAATAACTTTTCACTTTTAAAAAAGATTAAAGAATAAAAAAGGTACACAGAATCATCTATATTTCAGTCATTTCAGTCTAATGGTATGAAAATTTTCTGATTTTGAAAAAAAAAAAAAGGGAATCCGTAGTATTAAAAAAATTTGTTCTTGAGATTGGTGGTCACAACGTTTAGGAGGCTCTACCGATTTCCATGGCATCCGACGATGAAATTGGAGATATGATTTATTTGGTTATTATTCTCTCTCTCTCTCTCTCTCTCTCTCTCTCTATATATATATATATATATATATATATATATATATATATATATATATTACCTTGACATTTTATCTCCTCACTTATGCCTAGTGGGTCATATTTCCGCTCTATACTTTATATCCTATACTATATAGGATTTGTTTTTATTTTTTTGGTAAGCTTATAGGATTTATTAACTAATATAAAACTTTACTGGACAATAAAATACCACTTTATTTAAAATTCTAAATAGAGTGAAGAAAATATAAGAGATTTCAAGCAGTAAAATTAGACCACGAATTTTGGTAAATTTATAATCGCTGTTTTAGAAATAATTATATATTCATAAATAAAATAATAAATGTGCATATTATTTTAAAATTGAATATAATTAAAATTACTTAAAAAATTATAACAAGAATCATAATAATTAATATCCAGTAAAAAAAAATATAAATATTTTATTTAACAAAAAGGTCCCAGTCTATATATATAAGTAAACAAAAGAAAAAGACCAATTATAGTCGTGGCTGGATCAAAAGAATAAATTAGCATACAATCAGTCAAATTAATAATTATGATGTGATGTAGACTATATATATTAAAGTGAACACCATATATATATATATATATATATATAGAAGTTAAGAACCAATGAACGAGCTAGTGGGATCTTAACTATTCAATTGAAACACTCATGACTCATCTGAATTTTTCTTCACCACATATATCTATTTATCTACAATGACTCATCCATAAAATTAACAAATGAAGTCTGCATCTGATATGTAAGTAAGAATTGAATTGACACATTAATTTCGGAGATTATTTTTATTGACAGGCTAAAGAGTACAATATTTACCTAATATATCCCAAGGGACAATTAAACGATCATATATAATTATATATGAATTATGAGTTAATGTGAATATAAATGAAAGAGAATATATATATATATATATATATATATATATATATATATATATATATGAATGCATGCCTGGAGCTCAGTGGTGACAGGGTACTCGTCCATGTCGACGTAGTTCTTGTTGATGGAAGCCATGATGAGCTTGTCACATTCAGGCTCCATCCACGTCGTCACAAAAGAAGCCAGGTTCAGCCTTGGGTTTCCATCCAGCATTAACTCGTCGTTTATGATCTGGTACGCAGCTTCCTTTGGAATCGACTCCTCCGCCATTTTGAATCTGCACTAATTAATAATAATTACGTACATTAATTCATGAATCAATTAATTATTATTAATATATATTATTCATCCATCTTCATTTCATTCTTAATGTATGCATGATCATGATCATGATCATGTGTTGGTGATGATGGTGGATTTAATAATAATATGGTATATATATATATATATATACGATCGAACCTGGGAAGAGAGGTGCGGACATAGCGGGAGGCGAAGGTTGAGTGTACGGAAACATCCGTTTGGGAGGCGGTTTTGGATAGAACCATGACGATGGCCAGATCTTTAGATTTAATTTGGAGAGAGAGAGAAAGAGTGTGTGTATGTGTGTTTAGAAATGTTGAGTTGATGAGTTTGGGGGTGAAATAGGGGACTTAAAATAGAGTGGTGATGTGTAAGGAAGGAATTTTAATTGTGAAACTAGCTAGTAGTCAGAATCGGACACAAGTTTGTTTGGAAAAGTAAACCTGATACGCGTTTCACTTTTGACAAAACAAATCCTGTTTATACTTGAGAGAATTATTCCTTTTTTTTAGTTGGATTTTGAAGAATATTTATTACATGTTTTAAAATAAAATTGCAGTGGTTAAGAGGGGTGACATGTGTTCCATATACAGCTAAAAGAGAAATAGATTGCACAAATTAAAAGATGCTGCATACCGCATAATGAAGTGGTTTTCTTTAATTGGACTGTTGTGGTTACCATTAACCCATCATAAAGCGCTATGCGCTTCAATAATAATTATAAGTAGCACCACTACTAAAAAATGTATGAGTGGCAAGTCAGGATTGTCACAGACGGAAAAAAAGTTCTATTTCCTTCTTATAATTATGATATTCCTTTGGCCTTTGATCAATGTTGCAAATTAAATGTTTAATTTTCTTCTTCTTCTTTTTTGAAAATGCGAATGTCTGAAGACTGCAAATTTTAATTTTCAAATTGGAATGAAGACAAAATTAATTTCAAAACGCTTTTCAATAACCATATATGGGTGAAGGAAACTTCTTACAACTTTTCTTTTTCATTTTGTTCAATAAATAGACTTTCGGTAGAGAATTTGAGAAAGATTATCAAACCAAGAAAAACAGACATGAAAGGAATGAAAAGTAGCGTACTACTTAATGCTGAATCATAGTGAATAGGGAATAATGACATCATTTGTTCTTCTAAACATTATGATTTAGCTGATTGCTCTGTCAGTACGAGCCCCTATTAGTGGCTCAATCAACGGGTTTAACCTATACCAAATTTCGCCATTTCTATCATCCAAACCAAATGTTAAGTAATAATATAAATCATTAAAAAAAAATTTACTCAATATTTTAAGATTTTGGGTTGAAGTGGTTTACGATACTCACCATTTTCCACTTCCAAGTGAAATTTAACAAGCACAAGGTAAAAAAAAAAAAAAAAAATTGGACTTGTGCAATATCCATACTTCAAAGGATTTTAGCTCTTGCATGTGGGGATGTATTAGAGAATAATATAAACCATTAAAAAAATTATCACCCAACACTTTCAGATTTTGAGTTGAAATAATTCTTTACACCCAATTTATCTATAGATTGGCTTTATTATGACCAAGTTGAGATTAAATTACCTAATATTTAGATAAAATGCATAGTTTAGACATTAAGCATATTTAAGTCATGAGATTTTCGAAATAAGGATATTTTTTCAATAAATTTAGAAGTGAGAAACTTGAATTAAAAGATACTTTATTAATATATATTCAAAATAAAAATATTATCATGGTATGCAAACGGTATTAATTTAAGTCAAAAAAACCTTTAAAATTTATCTCCTATTTCAAAAAATAGATTAACATATTATAAAACATTGGACATAACTAAACCTACTCAAAATTTAACTTGGACTAAACTTAAAAATATATCGAATCTAACTTTGAGAATAAGTTAATAATAGTGATTTGGGTCTAGACAGACCTTTGAACCTTACTAACCCGACCTGAAGAAAAAGTTCAATTTGATTTAGTTATTTGGGTTAGTCAAGTTAAAAAGAGCCGAACACGACTATTATTAGGTCAGGTCTCGGATACTGTAAACTCAAATTTATTGAACGAAACCCGATTCGAATTTCTTATTTTCTTTAAATTTTTAATTTTCTTCAAATTTTTTCAGATATTGTTTTAGAGAGAGATATTCTTACTATTAAAATTTTCTACTACCAACCAACTTACTACCTATATAATAACCATTGGATTAGAGAGAAAGAATGTTGAAAAATTTCTAAAGAGAGAAAGAATGTTAATCCAACGGTGATTAGATAGGTAATAAGTTAATAATAAACAATTTTGATAGTAAGAATATCTCCTCTTATTGTTTTACAAGATTTTAAAAGCACATAAATATACACAATTCAAAATTTCATCCTTTATTTTTTAAATATTTTTTTAAAAAAATATACACATACAAAAATATGATGACCGGACCGGACTCAACTTAATCTGGTTCAGGTTATTTTTTTTTTTTTTTCTCTGGTATATCCAATCTAACTCATATTGTGTTGGCAACAGTGGCGGATCTAGAAGAAATTGTTTATGTCCGCACATTTAGAGGTGGGGTTCGAGGGCAGCGCCTCCGAAATTGTTTTTTGTAAAGAAAATTTAGATTAACGCTTTATGTACAAGGTTATGAACACGCTCATAATCTAGTTGTTTCTATAACAAACTGCAGGCAATAGTTTAACCAAACATTTTCCCTTCTAAATCTTACCAATCCTCCAAAACAAATATGAGAATATACTCCAATACATCTATACATCATCATTCTATTTTATAGTGGTGAATAAAAAAGTCAACACTACTGGTACAAAAGACAAGCGAAATCACAATGAAGGTCTCGTCTGCAGAGATTAACTTATTTGAGAATGTCAGACATGAAATCAATCGTCTCTTTTTATAAAAATGGAAAAAAAATAAAGGATGAAGAGAGTATGAGAAAAGGTACGTGACAGGGGAGGAAGAATAAATTTTCTCTATAATCAACTTGCATTGCTACATTATTTTAATCATCTCTGTACGTTGTTACGTTGCTAACTAATATAAGAGTAAATACTCTTTTTGGTCACTAACAAAAATTTCAGTCCCACTTTAATCCCTTACAAAAAAAATTTAGTGACCTAGTCCCTATGAAATTCAAAGTGAACACATTTTAGTCCTTTTGAGTAACTAATGTGGATCTTTTTTGAATTTGTGAGGGACCACGATTTAACTAAATTATCCACTTTGAATTTCTTAGGAACCTCGAGACTAATTTTTTTATTAAAAAATAAAGTGAGGACCGTATTTTTTATTAAGGACTTAAAAAGATATTTATTCCTAATATAAATATTGAACCAAGTAAAAAATAAAAAAAAATAAAAAAATCATATTATTCATGTCCGCACTTGCGAACATGTGCTACAACCTACGTCCGCCACTGGTTGGCAATATGGGTCTGACCCATTAAATCAGTCTGTTTAATCCATTATTTTTCACTGGTTGGGTTACAAAATTTAACAAACCAATCCACATAATCCATGCAACAAAATTTGACTGCAAACGCCTTATAAAAAAAAGACGAATTTATATTTACAAATCACTTTTAAAAGGTAGAGAAACTCGTTTCATTCTGTTTTTGTCTAGGTAGAGGCAAGAGCGATCAAGATGACTGAGTCCAACTCTACCTGGGGCATTGCCTTTTATTTTCTTGAATGAATGAAGTCCATACCATTAATTTACACCATAGGACGAGTCAAGTCAAATTCAGCATACTGGTTACACATACTAATTCTTGATTGTTAACCAACAACGTTCAAATTATACTTTTCCAACAAACTTCCAGAAGCAGAATTTTCTTTTTCTTTTCCTTTTCCTTTTTTTTTTAGTTTTAGCATATTCTTTTGTCATTTTTTTATTTCTATGTTTCTTAAAAATTGATGTTAACAAATCGTATACTAATGTTTTCATTACTGAACGCGTGCTAATAACAAAATGAACTACTCTTACAGACAAAAAGGTTTCCTCCTTCTAATTAAACAAAAATGTTTCCTCCTACTCTACAAAACTCAAGATTAAAATATCTCTTATCTAAATATAGAAATTGGAAACGAAATAAGATTCAAGAAGTATTCATACATATTTTCCGAAATAAAATAATAACTGAACAAAAATCCAATTTACGATTGTCTTTTGAACTAAGACACCAATCAAACACTAAACACTACACAGTAAGCCACTCCTAAATATATTTTTTTAACGAGACTCAAAATTTTATATACTTGACATACGCTTCATAACTTGACATGTATACGTGGCGGATAAACGTTCGAAGGTTGAGCACAATTTAAGTAGCACAAAGCCCTTTTTTCAGATTACTTGATTTCAGAAATAAATGCTACTCAGGATGCTTTATCTTTCACCTGCCACAACACACTGTCCGTCATCATACATCTCCTCTGCAATCTTATTAAACGTAATTGCGAATTCATTTTGTGATTTAAACAGCATTAAAATAAGTCAAAATTCAACTTTGGCATATAGCACTTTAAAAAATGGTTAATGGTTTCTACAAACACAGGAGATTGGATTGGTAAAATTGAAATCAATTGTGTGAGATTTAGTCTTTACAAACTAGCACCCTGCATAAAAATAATGATATTTGCACACCAATAAGTTACAGTACTTGTTTCGATAAAAAAAAAAAAAAAAATATATATATATATATATATATATATAGAAAAGTGCGTTAAAATACGTATTTTTCGTGTTTTACTAGTAACAAAAAAAGTAGTATGAGAATTATATCAGTTTTTTAATGTATAAATATATTTTCTTGCCCGCATAATTATTTCTGGCAATTTGCAGACTGCCGTCTGGTTCTGGATGGGACTCCAAGGAAAATATCTTTAATATTTCACTAATACTAAAGACTCAATACATCAAGTTGGCAAAATGTATTTGCCTGTAGTTATTCTCCCCATCCTGTTAATGCCATTTGAATCCCATTTTTTTTTTCTACTCACTCCAATGAGTTAGTGTTGAAGAAAAAAAATAGATAAAGGAAGAAAGAGAGTTGACAAAAAAATATAAAGATATGGGTCTCACCTCTTTGTGAGAGTAAAATGACATAAGTTATCATTTAAAAGGACAAATATTTTTCCCTTAAAATAATGCTTTTGGACGGATACATAAAAGAAGAAAAACGGAATGCACCAGGAGGCCACAAGAGTCAGCACTGATCTTGCTATACAAGTGATTCAGTACATTCTTTACCTGCTGCAGCCAAGGGATACCGTCAATGGCCCCTAATACGGTGGCGGGGGAACGATAATAGTTAGTTCAAACTTGAGGTGATATTATAAATCAAATTATAAGCAACAATCATTCTCACCGATAAGGACCTTTATTAGGATGTGAAGATATTTTAACGTTGATATGAAACTGAAAAAACCAGCTTTCACAGCAAAATCTGCAAGCATTGTTAGAGAATAAAATATAAAGTATTAAAAAGACCATCACCTATCATCTTAAGGTTTTGGGTTGAAGTGCTTTTTAACATAGTATAGGAGCTTCAGGACCATGAGGTCACGAGTTCGATCCTCACCGCCCCCACTTTCAGGTGGAATTAAGAAGCAAGGCAGACCAAAAAATGGACTTGTGCAGCACAAGGCAGACCAATAATGGGCTTGTGCCATATCCACGCTTCAAGCCCAAAGGGCTCTTGCGTGAGGAGGTGTGTTAGAGAATAAAATATAAAGTATTAAAAAGACCATCACCTATCACCTTAAGATTTTGGGTTGAAGTGGTTTTTAACAAGCATGAACAGAAAATTAAGAGGGAAAACTCATTCTGCCAGCTTTTGCATTCTTTTCTCTATAGTACATGGAAAATGTCTCATCTATACCTACAAGTATTTCCCCATGTTTACCCCAACTGTTTTTGGGTAAGAAAAAGAGAAAGAGTAAAGTGAGATTGGTTTGACTTTTTTACCAAAAATGGTAGGTGTATAGAGTAAGTGTATTGAGTTTAAAATGAAATTAACATTGCTTATACCATATATAAAGCAGCAGTTCACTGTGTAGTTGACGATCAAGACAAGCTTTCATGTAGACTTGAGAAATGACAAGGGAACTTACAAAAGTTTGTTCCGGGAATTTTATCCGATTCACCATCCAACTTTGGACAGAGACGACCATACACAGCATATTTGGTGTAAGTTAGCAACCTGATGACCCGTGAGACATTCATCTTTCTAATGATAGACCTTAACAGCGCACTAGAATAAAAAAGAAGATATGTTAAGCACATCAAGTAAAAAAAACAATTTAGCATCCAATTAAGCAAGCGTGAACTCTGTTTCTTACTCCACACGCGTTATATCAATAAAATCTGGGGGCAGTGACTCCATGAACGAAGATAAGTCTTCAAACAAAAGAGATTTCAACTCTTGTTTCACGGTCCCTTTTTCCTTGTTTGATATTCCAAAAGCAGAATTGCTGATAGTTCCAGCATAATTTTTTATGCGAGAAAAAAAAAATTATTAGGAGCGAAGATTACAAAGGAGAAGACAATAAGATATCCTTAAAAAAAAAAAAAAGATGGCAGAAATGAAACAAGCTCATAACAGAACAAGATTTTTTCAACTTTCTGCATATATCTATCGAGGAGTCCCCTGAGAACCAAAGCAAGGCCAAATATCCAATAATGTACCACAAAAAAATGTGGATCTGCTTCCTCCTTAAATATAATCAAGCATTCTGCTCTAACAAAAAACACCAAAGCATTGATAGCATATTGCCACCCCTTTTTCTCCCTCCTCCATTTTCTCTCTCAACTTACAAAGATTATTATACTTCGTACACTAGTTCCTTGGAATCATGGATACAAAGAAATTCAGATATCGTTGAAATTTAATCAATGAATGAGGCCCCTAATGCAATAGGGAAGCTCCCACTTTGGAGACTATTAGAGATATAATATTAAATTATTTATGAATCTTCATCTAAGAGCTTAAGTTTATGAAAAAGTTGGTTCATCACATAGTATCAGAGCCTCTATAACCAAGTGAGTTAGAGTTCAAAGGCTCTCGCAAGAAGAACTGTATTAAAAGATGTAACATAAAACAATTCATGTATCTTAAGCTAACAACTAATGCTTTAGAAAAAATTGGTTCATGATATAGACTACTGTTTTTCTCCTTTTCTTTTCAAAACGTTAAATGGGAGGAATAAAAAGGAATAGAAATTTTATGGAATTGTAGATTCATTTTAGCCATATGACAAACACCCCTAAAAAGGCTATGGGCCAAATAAAACAAAAGAAGTCCAGTGCACAGTTCAATATCCTTTTAAATTTCCTAATTTTTTTTGGGATGACCATTACGTTTGGATGCAACTAAGGTTATATTTGTAATAATCATGTCATGCACAATTTTTTTTTTTTTCTGATGATCATCATACACTTCAACATATCATTATTCTGTGCCCTTGACATTGGAGCTTATTAAGTTATGGAACTAAATTTGAAAAACTTCTCCATTTTGGGCTTCATTTATTTGATATTCTCCACCATGAACAATTTCAAAAGCAATCATTACATGGTTTCTTAAAATTGTCTGGTACATGGTTTACACAGTAATAAAAGACATTTAGCATCCACGCAATAGTACTTCTCGACTATTTATAAGTATAGTAGTCCTTGACTATTTATTACTATAAAAATAGGCAACTTGGTGACATAAAACTCCCACTATACACAGGGTCCAGAGAAGGAACAGACCTAATGTTTGGGTGTATAGTAGACAGCCTTACCTTACATTTACAAGAGGCTGAATACATAACTTAAACATGTGACCTCCGGGTCACATGGCGAAAACACCAACCATTGGGTGAAGGCTCCCCTTCTCTGTGACCTCCTGATTACAATTAAAGAGTAGTGTGTACAAAATATAACATCCACACAATGTATAGACATATCAAACCAATTGCATTGCTTTGTACTTAACAGTTGTAATTTGTAATCCACCAATAAGAGAAAACCATATTTAAGAATTATAATCTTCAAAAAGAACTTACTTTTAAAATGCAAACTAAAAGCATTTACATGCATCACTAAACAAATAGTTAAGAAGGATCACCTTTCAATAGTTGTTCCAGTGAAAATGATAGGTAAGTATCTAGAATACTTCCCAGCACCAAATCGCTCACCAAGCGAGATTATTTTCTCTGAGTCCTTGAGAATCAAAGCTTCCCATAACTGACAAAAGTCTTTTCTAAATTCTTCATCCAACTCCCTGTAGACTGCATGATCCAGAAGAACTGCATAATGATTCCAAAAGGGAGGAAAAGGTTCAATTCTTCTAGTCTTCTAAGTTGCATTAGAAATCCAATTAGAGAAAAAAAAATCTTAAAACACAAGTACTTACCCAAAGAGAAACCATTAGAAGCTTCGGGAGAAACTAATATATTACCAGGGTGTGGATCACCATGTATGTAACCATGCACAAATACCATTTCAGCAAACAGCTCAATCAGTGATTTTGCTACCTTCAGTAACAGGTTTGAAATGCATCAGTTAAGCAAGTTAGCATTACAAAAGTAGGACAAACTGAATGAGATTTTCAGAGTCAATATTCATTTGATTGGGTACAGCAACCATCAACCAATGGCCAATGTCCACCACAATAAGAGACAAATACATCCACCATAAAGGACATCAAAACACAATTTACATGAGTAAGTTCTGCATAGCTGTGATAAGTCAACCTTTTCTGGATCAACCCCAATCTGATTCAGAAAGTCCAAGTCATCAATCTGAAATTTAGTAAGCTTCCTATTAACAGAATGTAATATACAGAAATCTAAAGCATAGCACAGCTTGAATAGAAGCATCACTATAACCAAGCAAGATTAACGTAACATAAAATTGACCATGCAAAACTGACTTTTAAGTAATATTTTTACAAATTGATGGTTTTGGCTTTATTTTTATACCCACCAGTATATTTTACCGAGATATGCACAAGTTCGTGCTATTTGAGCAGAATGCCATAAAAATTTAATGATGCAGTTTTGTTTCTGCTCAAAAGAATAAAAAAATCTCCACTGCAATCAGGAGTAATAAAGCAGTTATTTCAGAAGATATGCACATCTATTTCAATCAGCAGTCAAGTTTATGCTTCAATACATTAAATCCAAATGACAGGGTTCAGATTTCCATTTTGCTTTCGCTTCTGTCTGTCATTCCTCTTTCTTTTTTCACAACCAAAAAATCCTCATTCATATCATGATGCCCGTTCTTCTTTATACAATGCAAATTTTATATTTCTAATACGGGTTTAATATTGCTCATGTTGTAGGAGATAAATTTATCTCCTACGCATATAAAAGTGTGTGTGACCCATATGGAGCCATGTGAAGAGAAAAAAGAGAAAGAAAAATATGAGGCTCCACACACTTTTATGTGTGTGCAGGAGATAAATTTATCTCCTACAATATGAGAAACATTAAACCCATAATAAATATAAAAATTAAGGGTTCGCTTTTTCTACGGATTGGTTGTATGTGCAACTAATGTGGAGTTTATAAGGCCTTGGCCACTCCCACCCTTTGAGCTAGCTTTTGGGGTGGTGTATCCCAAGGTTCTTTAACTTCAAACTCAGAGGCAAGCCGTGTTTGCAGAATCTGTCTCTCCACAAAATCATCACCTGTGATAATAATATCATCAACATATACAAGGAGCACAGTAAGCTTCCCATTTTGGGAGTGCTTGAAGAAAAGAGTGTGATCTCCTTCCTAAGGTCATCATAACCTTAGTAAACCTTCCAAACCAAGCACGAGGTGACTGCTTCAATCCATACAAGGCCTTTTTTAATCTACAAACTTTATTTTCCCCCTTCACAGAATCAAAACCAGGCGGGATTTCCATAGACTTCTTCTTCTAACTCACCATTGAGGAAAACATTTTTCACATCAAATTGATTTATGTCCTAATTGTAATGGGCAGCAAGGGATAACAAGATTCTCACTGTATTCATCTTTGCAACTGGAGCAAAGGTTTCTTCATAATCAATGCCAAAGGTTTGAGTGTAATCTTTGGCCACTAATCGAGCCTTGTATCTCTTAAGAGTGCCATCATAATTATATTTCAGGGCATAAACCCATCTGCACCCTACTGTTTTCTTTCCGTTGGGTTTATCAATAACCTCCCATGTTTTATTTTTCTCCAACGCATTCATCTCCTCTTGCATGGCTTGAGCCCAATTCCCATCTTTCAAGGCTTCATGTACTGATTTTGGGATTGCAATAGAATCTAGTGCTGAAACAAAGCTTTTGTGCTGCACAGAAAGATTAGCAGAGGAAACAAAGTGGGAGATAGGGTATTGAGTACAAGAGGGACAGGAGGAACAAGTTTTCTTGTGACAAGATCTTTTTCCTTTTCTAAGAGCAATAGGTAAGTCATCAAAAGCAGAAGCAATGGGTAAGTCATTAGAGATATCAGAAGAAATAGACAAATCATGAGAGGAAATAATATTAGAATCAGAAACAGGAGATTCAGGAGACTCAGAAGAAATAGGAGATTCAGGACTTACCAGTGGTTCAGACGATTGAGACAGATCTGATTGGAGGCGGTCGGAGGTGTTTGGGTCGTTTGTGGCGGAGAAACTGTGCGTAGAATGATAGATCGGAGAAAATAAAGGTCAACAAAGGTCCCCTTGATTCAAAAGGTCCCCGGAAAAATTTTCCGGTGGCGGCTGATGGCGGCAAGAGGCAAAGAAATTAGGGTTGTATTTTAAAAAAAGGACAATATGTGCGGAAGCAGAACCCTCAGATCGAGAGCTCTGATACCAACTTGAAAAAGGGTATTCTAATATATTATAGAATTGTAAATATTATTATTTATTTATTTATTATTTGTTGTATTGGGCTTAGCCCATTAGGTCAAGTATTCTAGGTCGTGTATTCTCTATAAATAGAGAACCCTTTTGTACATATAATTTACAATTCTATAATATATTAGAATACCCTTTTTCAAGTTTTGTAAAGAACCTTGGGATACACCACCCCAAAAGCTAGCTCAAAGGGTGGGAGTGCCCAAGATCTTATAAACTGTTGAGATATATAGTCCCACATTGGTTGTATGTGTAACTAATGTAGAGTTTATAAGGTCTTGGGCACTCCCACCCTTTGAGCTAGCTTTTGGGGTGGTGTATCTCAAGATTCTTTACATGGTATCAGAGCCTCGCAGCCCCCCACTTTCTCTTGTGGCGTTTCTTAGCACAGGTAGGCTGGACCTGTTGCATTGTCCACTCTTCAAGCCCAATGGGCTCTTATGTGAGGGGGCGTGTTGAGATATATAGTCTCACATTGGTTGTATGGGCAACTAATGTGAGGTTTATAAGGCCTTGGGCACTCCCACCCTTTGAGCTAGCTTTTGGGGTGGTGACCTCAAGGTTCGTAACAATTGGTGCTTTCGTTGAGAGTTGAGGCCACGAAAAGGGCTACCTATAGGCTGGTGCCTTTGGGCAGTGAATACTGATAGGTGAGTGAAGCCGCCACAAAGGGGAGAAAGGGCTATCGTCGGGTCAGTGTCGATAGAGTGAAAGCCGCCGTGGACGTCGGCCTTTAAAGGGGGTGGTGTATCCCAAGGTTCTTTACATGGTATCAGAGCCTCGCTGCCCCCCACTTATCTACATGGTATAAAAAAGTCGTACATTGAGCCCAAAACGACATCGTTTTGAGGCGAAAATATAGATATTTTTATAATTATAATTTACTTTAGGGTTATAATAGTCTTTTTCATTATAAATTTTTAATTTTTCAACCCAAAACGACGTCATTTTAGAAGCAAATGTAGATAACTATCTACCTTCATTGTAGAAACATTAAAGCCAAAAATTAAATAGACAAATATTAATGGGAAAAGTATTTCTCCGGTCACTAGAGATAAAGTTATCTCCAGTAAGCTCAAAACGATGTCGTTTTGAGTTATAAGATTAAAAAATACAATGATAAAGATTAATATAACCCTACAATATATTAGAGTTACAAAAACACCTTAATTTTCGCCCCAAAACGACGTCGTTTTGGGCTCACCAGAGATAACTTATCTCCATTGACTGGATAAATTCTTTACCCAATATTATTACCTAAAATATAAAATCCTAATCAAAATCTATGATAATATTTTCTTGAAATTCCTAAAATTAATGAAAGATCTCTTAAATAAGAGAAAATTCTAAAATAACATAATAATTTCTAAATAATACAATAATTCTGACATATGCATTTCTTTCTGCATCACTCTTATAAGAAATACAATGCTCTAGTAATAAAAAAAAATGATGCTCTAAATAGAATATAAATCAGTAGAATCAACATCAACATCAACATCAAAAATACTTTTATCCCAAACTAGTTGAGAAAATAAAAAGAATAAATCAATATAAATGAAAAGTACGAAAAGATTGAGAAAATACAAATAAAAATAAAATTTTAAAAGATTATAGTGATTTCACTAGAAGAGAAAGTTCTAATGAAAATATTGCATTAAAAAATAGTATAGATAGAATATAATATTAATAATAATAATAAGAATAAACAATAAGAATAAAGACTATTAAAAAGAATATATATATATATATATTCAATAGAATCTAAATATCAAAAATCTTGAGAAAGAAATGAAAAATAGAAAACCAAATAATAAAAAATATTCTTTTAGATTGGTACCGCAGTGGCCTTTTGGTGGTATTCAAGCTCTTATTTTTGCTACTTTAGCTGCAGCTTATATAGGGCGAATCCGAAAGGAGAAAAAAAGGGGGGTTGAATTAAAAATATTTTTTTTTTAATTTTTTTTATCCTTTTTTTCTCAATTTTTTCGTACTTTTCATTTGGGTTCATCTGCCACTGAACCCAACTAATTTGGGATAAATGTGTTGTTGATATTGATTCTGCTAATTTATATTCTATGAGGATGGATATTCTCACTACCAAACTTTTCTACTACCAACTTACTACCTATCTAATCACCATTAGATTAACATTTTCTCTCTCTTCAAAAACTTTTTAACATTATCTCTCTTTGATCTAATGGTGATGTGATGGGTAGTAAGCTAGTAGTAAGAAATTTTGGTAGTTAGAATATCCTCACTTATATTCTATTTAGAGCATCATATATATATTTTTTTATTACTAGAGCATCGTATTTCTTATAAGAGTGATGCAGAATGAAAATGCATACTTAAGAATTATTATATTATTTAGAAATTATTACGTTATTTTAGAATTTTCTGTTATTTAAGAGATCTTTCATTAATTTTAGGAATTTTAAGAAAATATTATCATATTTTCATTTATGATAATATTTTAAGAAAATCCGCAGAAAATGAAACAAAAATTGGACAGAGTGCATTTAGCATTTTATGTTTCATTTAAGATGAAAAAAAGATTCATATAAGGATCTTGACAATTTTCAAGAGAGTTTTCAAGACATCTGACCAAGTGAGGATAGTGGAAAGGATATGCAATAGATTAAAATCAAAAAAACATAAGGGAGACAAAATAACCTTGGTGCCTAAATATTAATAATTTATCATGAGAAAGTTAAAGGTATTAGAGCAGTTGTAGATATTGTAGAAGTCCTATCTTAGAACTAACGTAATGACAATTTTTTTCCTAAAATAATCATTTGCTGACATGATTGGTAAATCATACCTTGTGTCCTGCACAAAATTGCATAGTTAGGACTTGCCTTGTTGTCAACTCCTGCATGCATTATTATGATGGTAAAGTAGTAGAACAAATACTAAAATAGATAGTTCATAGGTGTTAAAGAGTTGTATGTGCTCTGCCCAGATGTACATTGTACTGCCTCATACTACACTCTTAACCTTGTAGTATATATACATAGGGAGACTTGGTTTTACGGATCATCCCATTACAACATAATTCTCTTTTCTACTCTCTACAGTAGCAAATCGCAATTAGCATACCCAGAATACATGAGGAATCCGGACCATTTTGTTGTATCTTAAGTTTTTGGCTGCTCTCTCAGAATTCCTTGCCTCCTGAACAAAATCTGCAGGGAAGTAGTCAAGGAATATATCTCATTCATTCAGTCATCACAAATAATGATTCAGAATGATAACTTCAGGCTGGAACATTGATCATATGGCGCAAATTTATGAGGGTTATAATGCTAGCCAATATGACCAAAGCTGATCAGCTGATATGCCTAATGTCACACAGTAAGGAAAATGCAACAAAAACAAGTTTGGGACGGAGAGTAGCAGTCAGCAATGTTTACTAGGTATTCTTACTGACCAAGTTCTGAAGACACAGACTTGGCAAACGCTAATGGTAGCCACTCAAGCCTGCATTGAGGGTATAACTGCAACCAAAGAAAACGATAATAAAGTAAAGAAACGACATCAACTAAGGAGTTAATACTACTTGTATAAAAATCTAACAGAAAAGTAGAGAGAATAGAGACAGCACATCGTTCAACTTCAACCAGCACGGCATTGAATTTATTAAAATCTTTTGATTTTAAGAAAATTTTAAATTACTCACTACGTTTTTCTTTCTTTTTTATTCATGTTTATAAGAGAAATTATTAAGAAAGAGCACAAAACATAAGGAACATGAATCTTTCTCAAATTAGAAATGATGCTACAAAAAAAAAAAAATAGAAAATACATCAGCCCAAAAAGCAATCCAATACCTTTGCTATAAGTATAAAAATTGTTCTTCAGATACCACACTCCAGTACTACCTAGGGTCTATTTGATAAAACTGGAAAATTTTAACACTGCGAATACAGTCCTGAATGTGTGTAATCATGCAATATTAAGCGCATAGTTTGTACTATTTGGTATGAAACAAAACTATTGGTATTTAAATTGAGGCAATGCCAAAGGAAACACTTGTCATTTAAATAAGGTTTGCTGCTGAACGCTACTAAAATCAATGTTTTTAGCACTTCACTTAAATTCATATTTGGAAGGTATTAAACAAACAAATCTAACTCATTTTTTGTGTCGAAACTTATCATTTTCAACATTAAACTAAGTTTTCAAACAGGTCCTTACATTTTTATCTGCATTGTTTTCTTGAAAGTGAGAAGCGATATATCACGTGAGTTTTTTGGGTTCTATATTGAGCTTGGTTTAACAATTACGAGCACCTAAATATTTCATTGATCTTACCTATGGTATGATGGAAGCATAAAGGCGTAAGGTAGCATCACAGGGAATCTAAATAAGACACCAATCATGAGGTGGCATAACAAACTAATTGGAGGGGAAATAGAGTATTCCAGGAGGTTGGTGAGGCCTGGAGGTTGTTACGAGAAAGTGTAAAAGGAGAGAATGAATTCTGTTAGAACAGCTGGGAATTGGGACCTTTTGGAGAGACTGTAGCCTCTCTAACACTACTGGACTATCTTGTTTCTTCTTTCTTTTCTGCTTAGTTACTTACTGTATCTCCATGACTGAAGGCTGTTCAATCAGTCAATTGTATTTTCTCTCATACGTATATCAGTAAAAGGTTGCTATATTTCTCCAGTAATTCCTGATGATTTATCTTAATTCACTCTTGAGGAACTTTAACCCCATCATGGTAATACCGAACCATTTTCCAATTATACAGGAGACAATTCTAGTAAGTCCTGTAATTAGTTCAATGTGACTTCAACACTACTGATATTGTTCTTGATGGATCAATAATGAATCTTCCAATTATCACATTGTGATGATTCAGCTCTTAGTTAATATTACATTAACCAATATCCTTTTGATCCCAATTGTGTTTTATTCTCATCCTTTTTGTTATCAACAATCAAACAATATACCATGACCATCATTCCAGATGTTTAGACATGTCTAAATATAACAATCAATTACAGCATGAATTCTTTAATATCTTTCAGTAAATATAAGAGCTGTCAAAAGTCAGAGCATACCCATGAAATAGTTTTCGATAGGAAATACATTGTTCTTGTATCAAAATTCATCTGCTTCTCTATCCAAGGGTATTGCACCTATTTTCCAATGAAGAAAATGATTTTAGGATTCAAGAAGTGCTTTTTCAAAAGTTGCTTACCTCAATCCAAATTATGAATTAGCAAGAAGCATTACATGGAAGCACATAACAGACTCTTTTACTTACTTAATAATGAAAGAAGCATAAATTTTTAAGCATTTTCAGGTCCATGTGACATTATGCTCCCACATATGATCAGCGGAACAACAATATCTTCTAATTAGCATCATTATAAGAAAGAATTAATTCCATTTACTGAAAGAATGGCTATAATATTATCATTATTATAATGCATTCCATGAAAAGTCAGTACCTGTGACCCTCCGGCCAGTATATCATATATAGTTATCGTTATAGCCAGGTTTGAACTCAAATAGCTAAATCTTATTTTGACACTGTGCCTGAGCATAACATGTCGTTCAATTGGAGATGAAGAATCAATGAACCATATAACAAAATCAACGGATTAGACCTGGCCATGGAAATATAGAAATGATAATGTTATTTCCAATCTAATGGGATATTTTTTAGATAAAACACAAGATGCTCAGTTACCACTAACAGAAGAAGCATTTTAGTAATTTGTTAGGCATTGAAACTACAGTTTACATCAGGAGAAATAAGGGGCGGAGTTGGCCTGGCAGGGAGGAAGCAATGAAAGAATATTCACTAGTGGACCCAAATTGACTAGTGGACCCTGAGCATAACAGAACAGACAGCTGGCAGTGTGTGAATGGAGAGGGTCATGGCATGGAGAGAGCTGAATGTTTATAGGGAACGTGCAGGGGATCATAGGGGAAGAAAAGAATTTTGGGCGAAGTTGATGGCCAATAGCCTGGGACGAGATTGCTTATTGCAGTCTCTGGGTACCTTTCTTGCATTTAATCCTTTTTGCTACTGTTTCTGTGTTTTCCAGAGGATTTTCCTCAGTTGTAAGGAGCTGAGCTCCCTTCTGTTGGATAAAATCTACCAGGAGATTCATTGTTAATAAAGCGCAATATCCAAATCATTGGAATCAATTTCTGAACATATACCACTTGTAACAAAAACTACTCACTTGTAAGGATGGCAATAAGTAGAATATCCACGAAGGAAAACCGACACTCTCCTGTCTTTTTATTTTGAGGGAAAAAGAACTAACCTTATATCCTCTTAAACCCCACCCCACCCCCATATATATATATATATATATACATACATGAGATCACATTCCTGTTGTACACCCATTTAAGTTTTGTTCAGATCCAAAAGCACTACTCTGGCTCATGTGCCTTTCCATTCAATGACAGACAAGGAAATAAATAGTTGATTTGAACCCAAAAACTAATAGGCTAAACAAATTTCAAATAAAAACAATTAAAAGACATTAATCATAAAAAGTTTAAAACCGACATGGCTTGTAATCCCCCCCCCCCGCGGAAAAAAAAAAGGAAAAAGATAAAAAAACTAGCATACTTGTAATATAAACAAACATATACAATGATGTCAATTCAAAAAATTTAGACAGGTAGCAAAGGTTAGGATATGAAAATCAGAAAAGTATTTATTATGATCAATTCAGAAACTCAAATTAACTTCAATTTACTGCAACTTAAAACAACATATTTAACTACTTCATATTACCAAATCCCATCAGGCCCAAACTATAATGAATAATAGGTTTAAATCCTGTTCCTATCTCAAACCCACAAGGATTTAATGGTCTAGTGCACGAGGCTCAAGTTCACATTGATAGACACGGGATGTGAAATTTTAACATCACTAACATTGACAACTTGGAAATCATTTTCAGAAAAGTACTTTACATAATGACTTCCATCAGGAATTTAGGAAACCGCTAAAACCCACAGACAAACCTTGATTGCTACTTCATGACCACTTTTCAGCACTGCACGGTGAACCTGAGCAATAGATGCAGCGGCTATAGGTTTTTCATCAATTGACAAAAACCTGGAATTCACATAAATACAAAAGTAATGTTAAAAAAGAAGACAACTAAAGCTTGAGTTTTTAACTCATGCAAAAAAGTATAAGTGAAAACGGGGATTTAAGGGGTGGCGTGGCAGTGGTCTATCAGCAGTCTGAAAGGCAGGTCCAATTTCAAGCTATAAACCCACCGTTTAAAACTAGAGAACTCGTGTAAGGGACATATTAGAAATATAAAAGCATTAAAGTACCTCCATCTATAAGCTTAAGTATTTTTCAAGATAGTTAGTTTTCGAAACATACATAGTTTATAAAATTAAAATTCAGTTGGTAAGGGTAACTTACATCTCAGAGAAATCAGGTCCGAGATTATCTTTTAACACTTTCTCAATATCTTTAAAAGGAAGAGTAGCAACCTAGGTGATCAAGATATCCAATTAGCAAGATAACCAACCAAAAGCAAAGGAAATTTGAACTTAAATAAATACATTCAGCTATACCTGGTCCTGTAATGTGGACAAAGTTGATGAGTACTCTTTTGGCAGCACTTTTTGCGCCGCAACAAACTGTCCAGCCTTCACATAAAAACCTTTGTTGGCTTCGCATAACTTGAGAAACCTCTTGGCAGAGCGTAGATGAACCTAAGCACCAAAACAATCAACATCTCAGCATAAAATAGAAGCCATTTTGACCAACAGCGATCTTATTTTTTGGCGGAAACCTGAGAAATTTCTTGACGATACAGATCGGAGTCCTTTTGAAGGGTGCGCAACGAGAATTCGTAGTCAAAAACAGTGGAAGCAACCTGAATGATTGAAGATCGGAAGAAGAAGAGACGCGTAAAAATCGAGAGGAGTTAAACAAGGAAAAGTCAAAAAGATTCGAGTAGAAAATGGAAAGAATCAATACCGCGGAGATGGTGCGAGCCGTGCGGACGAGGCCATGGATTTCGGCTCCGATTTTAGCGGCGGATAATGCGGGGAGATGAGACAGCTCGCCGGAGTAAACAGCTTCAGCGTCGTCGGCGGAAGTGGTGGTAGTGGTTGCGGCGGCGGCGGCCGCGGTTAACAGGAAAAGGGAAGTAGTGCGTTTGGCGGGAAAGTTGAATGGTTTAGGCGTCATTTCATTGGAGGGTTTATCCTGTTGGATCTTTATACTTATATAGATACAATTTCAAGCGGAGAGTCCATCTTCTTGGCGAACTCCGATTACACGGGAGCGATTAAAATTTTAATCAGAGTAAATATTCTTTTTTGATTATCTACAAATTTCACGACGTTCGCTCCTAGCAAAAAATAAAAAGGTCTATCGGGGTCTTTGAAATATTCAAAATGGACCGGTCCTTTTAAGGACTAATATGGATCTTTTTTAAATTTGTGAAGTACTATAATTTCAACTAAATAAATTCATTTTAAATTTTTTAAAAATTACGATGAACTTTTTTATTTACTGTGGACTAAAACGCACATTAAAATTTGGAGTATTTATTAATTTACTCTTCTAATTCTAATTATAGTTCACATAAATGAGCCGTCTCTATCTATCTTTTATTAAAATTCTAACCCGATTAACCGGTTAGACTCATTTATATGTGAACTGAGTTCGGACAATTCATAAAATCGGATGGTGGAAAATGGATCAAATCAGTGAGAATATCGAGAAATGGATTGAATATTTTCTGGAGTTAGCTGCGGAAAAGTTTGATTCTGAAAAAAGAAAAAAGGAATGAGTCCAAAAAAAAAAGAGTAGCTCCCATGCAATATAAATCGTGTCAAAAAATTTGACTCGCGGCATAATTTGTGTCAAAAAAATTGATTATGTATTTTCGAAAATTCAAAATATGTGACAGATAAAAACTTTTACGAAATGTTTTTTTTTTTCAAAAAATAAACACCTAATGTCAAATAAAATTTAGTTGCAGATTTTCAACCATTAAAAGTATTTTTCCAAAGTACCTATTTCCTGATTTTGCGAATGCAATTTCAAAAGGGAATACGAAAGTGAACCGAAAATGGGAAGAAATTTCGGAAAAAATTTGTAAGAAAAATAAAAAACTATGGAGTGTTGACTCAAGTGTTTGAGTGGCAAGATGGTAATATAGGCATGACGATCGAACGGTGGCTGTTGTCACCTTGAAAGTACAGTCACATTTTTTTTAATGTAAAAAATAGAAAAAACTTCAAAAAATTTCATGAAATTTTTTCAAAATCATTTATCCCTTTCCGAAATTTTTAATAATTTATACTCTTATTTAAAATTTATTTATCACGCATCCCCTAATTTGATTTTTCATCTAAAAGAGTTAAAATTTTTAAAAAAATGTCAAAACTATCCTTAAAACAAAAAAAAGAAAAATTAACCGTATGATTCTCATTATTTGTGTCTATCTCTTTCCTAAAATGATATAATTTATGTCTTTTAAAAGAACAAACATCTATAAGTTTTTTGGATTAATTTAAAACTCAAAACGAATCTCATTAAGACTTTAAACCTCTTGTAAAGATTAAAATATAATATTTATCTATTTCTGTTCAACTTATCAAATATTTTACTTTTATTAAAAATGAAAGTTGCCAAATTAATTTTAAGTTTTTTTAGTAATATAAGTTTTATTTATATTCACTATTAAGGTAAAGCAATTTTACACTAATATGTTGCTGTTATTGTAAAATATTTTGACATGTCATTATTTATTATCACATCTTTCTCACTAATTACAAAAAAACATAATGATGCATCAAAATAAAATAGAAGGCTGAAATAACATCTTACCACCATGTAAATTAACTAATAAGTGATTTCGAATTTTGTCGCCTTTGTGATCTATGATTAGTCGATTAATTAACAAACGAATGGATAAATCTCAAAAAAAAAAAATTAATAACATACCGTGCATACTTAATTAGAAACCACTACGTGCCTATGATAATAAAACTAATCTAATTCTCTCTCACATGCTAAACTATTTAGAATTTTGAGAGAAAATACTCATAAGTAATAAATTTCTTAAGTAAATTACTTTTTATTGCAAAGAATCACTTCAACCTAAAATCTTAAAATATTGGATGAAAAAAAAATTAATGATTTACATTAATATCTAACACACCCACTCACGTAAAAATTCTTTAAACTTGAAGCGTGAATTATTATATAGACTCAATTTTTAGTTTACCTTGTACTTATTGAACTTGTGACTATTTATTGAACGACCTTGTGGTCAAGGAAGCTCTGATACCATGCAAAGAACCACTTCAACCCAAACTCTTACGGCTCGTTTGGTCAACAGGATAAAAATAGGATATGATATGATATGGGACTGATAAGCCTAAATCATGTCCTGTATTTGATGAACACATTATTAGCATTCTGATAAGATTATGTAGAAAGAGAAAAGAAGAAGAAAAAAAATGCAATAAATACAAATATATTGAATACATGGAGATATATTGAGTAACGTGAGAATATATTGGATATCCAATATTGGTATCCTATCCTATTGAATCCTAACTCAACTCCCCTATAGGATAAAAAATCATATATTGAATAGGATAAAATAAAACAATAAGATAAGCTAATCATATCCTATTGACCCACCAAACAAGAAATAAAAATAGAATATGATAAGTTATCATATCCTATCTTCTTTATCAGGTGCTCCAAATAAGCCCTTAAAGTATTGTGTGAAGACCTTTTTAATGATTTATATTAATCTCTAACATTTATTTTAACCTTAACTTTAAAATAAAAGAAAAAAACTAGATTTATTTCTCTCAAAATTATCAAAATCATTAATGTGCTTTTACGAGAAGTACGATACTTAGCTGGCAAACATGCAAACCATAATCAGCAGAAAGGTAGCAAAATCCATCTGAACTTCTAAAGGGATTAATTTCAAATTACAAAAGACAAATCAGTTCGAACAATATGGGGAAGCAGCCAACCCTTGCGTTCCCACCCAAAACACAATAGAAGGAAAAAGGGCCAACGACAAATGCTTCTTGCCCCTTTCTTATTTCTTCTGAAGAGCGCATAGATCCTTTTTCAGTGTTGTCTTTCCATGCCTGTCTGAAAATGACACCAAAAAACAAAGAAACAAAAAAGACATTTAGGCATAAAAAGTGAGATGGGACATGATATAGTATTTCCACGCACATTCCACGGTTATCTGTGTCCCATAACAAAAGAACATATAATGTTTTCGAGTGCTCAAATATGAAGGGAACCAAGTAGAAGTCTACCTAAAATCAAGCCTATGCAGAAATTTTTGCTCTAAGCTCGTCTGCCACAGCATCGATGAATTCCTCTGTGTTCAAATATTGCGCCCTTGAAAGCCTACTTGCAATAATTATACAGTGAAAAAGTTTATTAATCGGGTCGAGTATAAAAGCAAATGCATTGGGCCAATGTTGTAACAACGCAAGAATGACAAGTAACGTACTTGGATCCATGAATAATAAGTGCCAAATCCTTGGTCATCTTCCCAGACTCTACTGTTCCAATGCAAGCTGCCTCTAGCTTTTCAGTGAAATCCAAGAGTTTAGCATTGTCATCCAGTTTTGCCCTGTCAGCATAGAAACACTTTAATTCCCCCTTATCTCAAAATCTTATATGCAAAGAGTTTCTAATACACTAGGTAAAGCTTAGCACTCAACTATGCAAATTACACAGTAATGTACCTGTGGGCTAGCCCTCTTGTCCAAGCAAAGATGGATGCTATGCTGTTTGTGCTGGTTTCCCCTCCCTTCTGATGAACCCTAAAATGACGGGTAACTGTGCCATGGGCTGCTTCTGCTTCTATAGTCTTTCCATCAGGGCAAACCTGAACCCATCCCATAATTCAATTAGTATCAGCAGGAAGACACCAAAACTCCAATTCACAGAATGGAACTTCATGATTTATTGCAAAGGAATTCATTAAATCATTCACAAGAAATTGGTTGACTTGATAATAGAACCACCATAGTAACTGTCTCTCTCTCTCTCTCACACACACTCTCCTCTCTCTCTCTGTGAGAGAGAAAGCGTTTTCAATAAATGTGGATAAGAATAAAAATACAGCATAAAGTATGTGTAAGGACTTGGAATAACACCTACCAATACAGATGTCATCAAACCCAATGATCCAAAACCTAAAATATTGTGAACAGGTATTAGTTAAAGCGGAAAAGAAACCCATGCATCTGAAGTTGCAAAAAGAAAATGGTTAATAACCAAGCGCATCCGACAAACCTTGAGCTAAGAAGTCACTCTGGACATCTCCATCATAGTTTTTGCATGCCCATACATAACCTCCTTCACTCTTGAGTGCATAAGCCACCATATCATCAATGAGCCGATGCTCATACCTTCCAAATTCATCAGATAAATGTAAGCAAGAGGATAATATAAACAATTTTTTTCTCAAACCAAAATAAAAGAAAACATTCACTCACCATATACCAGCAGCTTCATACTTTGATTTCCAGCTTGCCTCATAAACTTCTTGAAATATGTCCTTGAATCTTCAACCAATAATAAATATAATTAAACAGGAGAGGGGGGGGGGGTTCAATGTAGCAAATGTTTTACAAATAAATAAATAAATAAGCTATAATGATAAATTGCATACCTTCCATCATATTTCTTAAGAATTGTGTTTTTGGTGCTAAGATAAAGTGGCCATTTTTTCTCATAAGCAGTTGACATAGAAGCCTCAGCAAAAGAACGAATAGACTGCATCGTATGTCAAATAATAGATAGAAGTTCAGAATCTAGCAGAAATCATTGAATTATATCCAATTAAACTAATAAAAGACACTGCAGAATCAACCTCATCAGTGTTGTACATAGCCAATGTAACACCTCCTTGACCAGTAAAGTTATAAACCTCCAATTCAGTCTTCTCACCTTGGCCTTCTGGAACTACAAGAAAGTAAAATTCATGAAATAATATTTAGTTACCAACTAATATAATAATGGAAAACTAAATCCCCAAAGAAAGGACAACATGGTTGAGTACATGATAATAACTTAAGAACTCTTAAGTTTAGTAATACAATCTCAAAAAGCAGTCCAAGATGAAGTAAGAAGTATACCAAACACCAGCTTCAGTTTTCCAGCTCCTTTAATTACTGAGTCAGTGGCCCGGTATTGATCACCAAAAGCATGTCTTCCAATACATATAGCCTTTGTCCAACCTGGCATTGTTGAGACATTTATGTAAAATACACCTTCATTCATTTAGGAGTTACTAAAGGAAATTTCAATATTGATACCAGGAACAAGGCGAGGAACGTTTTTGCAAAGAATTGGTTCTCTGAAGACAGTTCCTGAAAAATTTTCCAACAGCAACCAATGTATATTGTTACTCATCTACCACTTATAAGCTACCAATGACGGATCAGAAATATATAAATTAACTAGTATAATTAACATTAAACAACCAATAATCAATGAAACTAAGTAGTTACCATTCAAAATGTTCCTAATTGTCCCATTTGGACTCTTCCACATTTGCTTGAGGCCAAACTCCTCCACACGAGCTTCATCTGTCAAATATAATACTAGTATAAGATCTACCAACATCTAGTACAGAGAGGAACGTTACCCATGCAGCCGAATCAGCACAATTCTTGAAAAAGAAATACAATGGATGTCGCCTATTTCTTATTTATCAAATGTATATGTATGCACACAAGCACATATGAAGATAAAAATTAAAATATTATGTTAGGATCTGACTACCATACCAGGAGTGATAGTTGCACACTTGATTGCTACATTATACCTACATAGCAGTGTGACCATTAGAGAAACAAGGATAACAACTACACAACAGCAAAAGTACAATAAGGATTTATCCCCTCTAACATTAATATGGAAATAAATATTAAAATTAAAAAATTATTGTACTATACATATTGCTTGCAATATAGCCAAAAACACAAATTTTGTCTGCTTCACATATACTGAACTGAACCCTACAATATTCAAAATAAACTTGCAAAAGAAAAGAACATAAAAAGAAAATAATATGAGGAATTAATCATTTCTCTTTAAGAAGATAAAAGTGGTAGGGGAAAAAAAGGTCTACAACATCAGCAAATTATTGACTAACATACTTGAGAGTTGCTTCTGCACTTTCAACTGTAACTTTATCATCAGTCTCATCACGGTAAGGAAGGCCCAAGTCAAAATACTTGATATCCAACTCCAAAAAGGGCAAAATGAGCTATCCCATAAGAGAAAGAAAGAAAGATATCACTACTATAAGCACTTTTCACGAGAAAATAAAAATGTGATCATCGCAGTAAGAGTTAATCACCTTATCCTTGATATACTTCCAGATAACTCGAGTCATTTCATCTCCTGCAGTGCAGATTCCACAAACAAACGATGTTAGGAGCAAGACAAAGATACCCCCTCCAAGGAAATGAATATGACAGAAATTGATAATTCTAGTCTCTTTTTCTGTGAAAAAGGTCTAGTATTTTAGTGTCCCGTAACTTATGAGTACGGACCACGAAAGCTCAGAAAGCCAGCTCTTACTGCCCAAAACACCAAAAATACAAACTAGCTACAGCTTTTCCAGAATACATTTCCTTCAATTGTTCAGTACTTCAGTGAATACACATGGTAATGCGCTTCCTTGAAACAATAATAATAATTTAAATTTTTCTCAATTTTCAGATATCTTTTACCATAATATCATTTTCCTTTTTTTACCAACAAAATTATTTGAAAAAAAACTTTGCCACTGTCAAAATAGAAAGAAAAAAAAAAACTGAGCAGAACTCACAACACAACGCTACTTTTATAACAAGAGAAGAACAGATCAAATCTACTCAATAATAATAAGAATAACAACAAGACGATTCGATAAAATGGTTTATGAAAGTAATAATATTAAATACCTCAAATAAGTCTTGCGATCTCAAATCAAAATATAAACAAAAGAAAAAATAACGGAAATAAGACAGGCAGAAAAACCGATCTATTTTTCAGTTTTCAATGATCGTGACATATTCAATAATGAAAGAACGGGACAGAGAATGGTCCACAAAAATATCACAAGCAAAATATCTAACTGGAGCAAAGCAAATCAGATTAAGCACATCAACACGATAAGACAATCAAGCACGCGAAAAATAAAAAACGAAAAAAAAAAAAACAGAAATGAAAAGAAATCGATGAAATGAAGAATGAAGCAATCAGATCGGATGAGATCAGAAACAGACCGTCCATCTCAACGATAGGGTTGGCGACCTTGATCTTCTGGAATCCCATGGTTCTGATTTGGAGTGTTAGTTGCAGATGCAGAGCACAAGGTGAAACTGGTGACCAAGGGAAGGTTAGGTGAAAAAATGAGTAACGCTAAGGGTTATGAGAGTTCAGTGCGCACGGAAGAGCTCTACTTATCGTGTGTGGATCAGTGACAGATGTTTCGGAATATTCAACTACTTACTTAAGAATTTATGATATCTATATTATTATCATTATCGATATATGTCCGACCACATGCTTTACTTTACCCTCCTAATATCTTTCAATTACTTCTTTGCCACATCCCTTTTATTAATGCATTCAACTACTTACTCAACAGCTCAGACAAATAATAAATATAGTTGAGATTATCATTCAATAATATTAGAAAATAGTAAATAAAGATAGAGAAAAAAAATAATAGATAGAATAATTTATTCTTTATATTAATTCTATTTAAAGTGTAATAAACTAATACTCTCAATATTAAAATTAAGTATATTCTTGAGAATTGGTTAAATATTAAATAATCTTAATTGTTCAAAAATTAAGCATCAATATTGATCATGCGCTTTTAGTACATAAGGCATAACCAAGTAATTTTGAGGTGTGAGCCAATTTATAAAGTGACAAAATATAACTGAAATCTACTACGACATAAAATCTAGCAGCATTACAAATTCCTGATATATGATTTGGACAAATGTAAAAGGAGGAGGAAGAGAGACAACTGCCAAAATGTCATTGTTTGGTAAAATAAGCTATCCAAATGTTATATTTTTAAAAAAATAAATCAAAATTTTATGTTTAAAGATTCGTTGCCGGCCTTAACAAACAAGTCGTATTATGCCATGTATCAGTGTATCACCAACACAAAACCCATTATCGATAAGTTAAGGATTTGGGCCTGTTTGGTGTGATGTATAAGGCCTGATAATATAAGTTTATACTATCCGTTATGACATTTTCAGTTATTTGGTATGATAATCGTATAGTATAAACTTATACAGCAGGATCTCTTTATACATCAAAATGATGTATAACTTAATCAAGCCTAAGGGCATGTTTGGTGCACTGTATAGGATAAGATCTGATAGTATAAGACCTGATAGTATAAGGCCTGATAGTATAAGACCTGATTAAATTTTAATATTATTCAGCGTTTGGCATGATACTGTATAAGATGATGTATTGTATAAGATAATATTATCCAGTGTTTGATAATACACTGTATAATACTAGATAGGATAAAAATAAATATTTTTGACAAAAATACCCTTTAATAAAGAATTTATATAATTCTTTTAAATATGTTATATAATATTAATTTTTATAAAATTTTATCGATTAATATGTCGAAAAAATAAAATAATTTTTGTAAAAATAAAAATCTTCAATATTCAAAAAAAATCATGACTACTATATATATATATATATATATATATATATATATATATATATATATATATATATGCTCTGGTTTCAATCACAAAAGACATAAACAACACTCACTATTAAAATATTTGTACGTTATTAGGCAATAGCTAATGAAGATCAACAGTGACGTACAACCAAAAATATTGAATACATATCAGCTAGGACAAATACCTCATCATGCTGATTAAATTCTAGTTAAGTTTCACATAATGACACCATAAACCATGTCATTTCATTCACATAGTAGTAGCATAAAGTAGTGACATGAAGTTTCCAATATAAAAGTGCATAACTTTAAGGTACAATTTAAATTTAAATACAAAAGATAAAAAAAAAAGACCACTTATGGGCTCAATGAACAACCCGATCATTGTACATTTCATTAGCCAATGCATCTCTCCAAGCACTCCACGCTTCACTTGTATCTATGGTGTCTATGCTATCATGTAGTTCTTCATCCACCTCCTCGTCAATAGATATGTTACCTAGCTCTATCTCTAAAGGATCTGTATCCATTTCCCTCCTGATCAAATTGTGCAGTAAGAAACAAGCAATAATAATTCGGTTGTGAGTCTTAACAGGATAAAAACTTGGACTTCTAAGAATTGCCCAACGCATCTTCAACAACCCAAATGTCCTTTCTATGACATTTCTAGCTTGAGCATGTCGCTTATTGAAAACTTCTTGAGGAGTTGCCGGGATATATCCATGTCTCCACTCGCTTAGATGGTACCTTGTCCCCCTATAAGGGGCAAGAAACCCATCCCCATTGGTGTATCCAGCATCAACCAAATAGTAGTATCCTATTTAATAAAACAAGTAAGATTCATTATATATTTTTCTATTTAATAGAACAAGAAAGGTTCAATATACCATATATTGTAATAAAATGACTAAATTGAATGTAATTTTCACGTTCTTACCTGTTGGAACCTTAAGGCCATTTCTCCTATTAATTGCATCACGCAATACCCTAGCATCTGAAGCTTAACCCTCCCAACCCGGCAACACATATACAAATTTCATGTCTCGTGAGCACACTCCTAACACATTTGTGGCAATTTCACCTTTTCGACTTCTATATCTTGGCTTCTCAGCCTCAGGAACATTAACAGTAATATAAGTTCCATCTAAAGCTCCAAGACAACCCTATAATAGATAAGTAAACAACCTCTACGAATTTATCACATGAAATAAGTACAAACAATCCAAAATTGAAAAATAATAATAATTCATACCTTAAACCATTTCCACCTATCGTCAGTGCAATTCTCAGGAACTGGATCTGGTACCTTCAATAAATTTTCTTGCAACCTCAACACAGACTTTAAAACTAAATTGAAGTATCTACTAACAGTTTCCCCCGACCGTTGGAATTTAAACTTGATGACACGATTTTTAGCATGGTGAGCTAATATGTGTAAAAACATAGCTACCTGTTCTTCTATTGATACTAACCCATCTTCCTTTAGCTTGCCCTCAACACGTACAAGAGAACACAATACTCGAAATGTGTAAGTATTCATTCGGAGTTGTTCTACACAAGCAACATCATCATTTATTAGCCTCCTTATGAATGCCACCCTTGATTCTTCCCTTATCCTTGGTATTGCTCGTTGCCTTAGTGATAATCTCCCACGTCGTCTTTGAACAGCACAACACATGCGTAGGTAAGACACAATACATATAATGACTATCTCCAAAAAGGCTTGTTCCATCATCAACCTCATTGACATGATAACAAGGAGCTCAATTATATCATTAAGCCATCCATTTGGGTCATTTAGCCATCGAATTGGATCAAACCTTTCATTAGGGTCCATATGACCCTTGTGAAGTGAAGATAACCCTTGAATGATAGACTCTTGGTAAATTCAGTGTCGATACTTTTATTGCCACCAGTGCCTGCAAAGGAATTGTTTTGTATTGGTTTGGGTCACAAAGCACAAATGGTATGACAATAGATTTTAATTCAAAGTTGATGCTTCAAATAGTTTAATTCCATGGTTTTGCATGTGCAAGAGAAGCAGCTTTTTGTATTGTAAATGTTGCCCAAATTTGAATTTAAAATAGAAGAGAAAACTAGTTAAAGTTGTTTGCTTCAAACGGTGTATTTTTGCTGCAGTTGAAATTCCATATCAGTATTTCCAAAAAAAAAATGATATCAGTAGCTAATCTCATGAAAAGGGAAAACCGCTAAAGTTTTAACTATAAGGAAATGAAGCAAAGTAAGTTGTCACAACACTAAAAAGAAAAGTATGACTCAACTAACCTGTGGAGACAATCTAATGCATTCACGGCACAATGCCTGCTAAACTAGAATAGCAAACAAAAATGTAGGCATAAAGAAAATAAAAAAAAGTGGACAAAAAGGTAGATAGATAGCACTAACCCAAAAGGACTTTGTAGTGTTAATAAGCCCCTTAAAAAAACTTTCAAAACAATTTTAAGAAGAAACAAAAAAAAAATATGAAAGATGTGTGATTCTATAAGATGAGTCTCTGTTCATCCAATTCAGTTTCTCAGCCTAGCAGTTAGAACAATTGAACTTCAGGCACCACTCACTGACAACACAATCCTCATTGTCAAGAGATATAAATGTTCAATGTATAAAAGAAAAAATAAGAATTCAATTTACAATTTGAACTCACAAGGTGATTTTGGAGGCTCAATACATTGTTTCCATCCTTGGTAAGCCAAGGGAGACAAAAGACTATTTTGCAGTTCAACAGACTGAAAATAAATAAACAATTGGTAATTTTGAAACAAATAAAAGACAAAAAAAAATGTCAAATTAACATGCACTCTACTTACTGTTTGGCGTTGCAATTTGCAAAGCACCCTCTAACAAAGCCAAGTGCCTAGGCTTCGGAGCATTCGACTCCTGCAATGGCAATTAATTGATTACAAAATTTGGGTTTTCATCAAAATAAAATCTTTCTTTCTTTCTTTATTTCTTACATGGATGCAAGCACAAACAACCGTTTTCCAGGGCCAAGTCACAATTAATTTAAAAAATGTAAGGAAATAAAAAGAGAGAGGGAAAATTAGGACTTACAGAGAACATAGAAGGTGAAGCACGACCCAAAGGGAACATGAAAGGGTTTCTGAGAAGTTGTCAATAGCTTAAGCTCAAGAATCAGAATGAGAAAGGGTTTCCCGTGACCTGTGAACTATGAAGAACAACCAGTGAATCACAATGGAATGGGCGGAGGAGAAGTGTGTTGTGTCAACGTGAGGAGCCTGAACCAGATGCCTCTATTCCCTCAGGCGGCCAAGCCGTCTTGCCTACGGCAGCATACTGTACGGAGAAGATAACGAGTTGGTTGTTTTTGAGAAAGTTCAAAGGTGAACGTCAATGGGAAGAGAAGGGGCAGATGGGGAATGGAGAAATTAACCTAATACATCACACTCTTATCAGGTCTAATCCTTACCCCCCAGCCCTGATTAGATTATACATCATTTTGATGTATTAAACAATCATACTGTATAAGCTTATACTATACAATGGTCATTCCAAACAACTGAAAATGTCATAATGTATAGTATAAGCTTATACTATCAGGCCTTATACATCACACCAAATAGGCCCTAAGAGTGTTGAATTAGGCCTGATAAGGGATTGATGTATTAATATTACTTACAAGTACAATTCTCAAGAACTAATATTTCATTTCAATATTTATATATTAAAATAATTTTTTTAATATATTAATTTTTAAAATATTGAAAGATA